TCCTACCATGAGCCAAGCTCATTCCCTCCTTCCTTTCGCTTCTGCACGAAGCCAGTCTTCCCACCAGGGGGTCCCTTGGGGCCGAATCTCTTGCCCACTTTTCCTCCCACCAGTCCTCAGAGTTAATGCGTCAAGGAAGTCCCCCAGAGCAGGCAGGGCTCTGAGGCCTGGGGGGCAGGACGGGAACCGCCTGGTCACCGACCCCTGGCGGCTGCCTGTTCCCAGGAGCCCCGGGGCAGGGCAGGCGCACGTGGAACCTGGGCTCCCTCCGCACCTGACTCTACTTCCCTGGAAAGCGGAAAGCCCGCCCACGTGGAGGTGACCCCGGGATGACCTCGGAGTCATTTATTGTCGAGGACAGGGCCCTCAGTTGCTACAAGCCTCCCGTCTCAAATTCAGCTCGTTCCCCTTTGGCCAAAAGGCAGAATGACTGGGCACTGCTGATACGCTTCATCCTGAGATGCTGAAAAAGGTTCTAAACCTCCCTGAGCAACCGAGGGCTCGGCCTCCAGCGAGAAGCGAACCGGAAGCTGACGACACCTGCCCAGGTGACGCGGCCCGGGCCTCCGGCACCAATCGGCAGGAGCCGGGGGCAAACCCCAGTGTCCGCGCTCCTTCCTAGCGAGGAAGAAATAAATGTCACCCAACTGCTACTACGGGGCCAGCGGGAGCCAGGGGGGTCCAGACGGGGTCCGCGTCCACGAGTTAATTAAGCAGACGTTGGAGAAGAACAAAGGTCTCCGAGCCAACCTCCAGCCCCTGTCTCGGCACTCGGACCGCCCTGGGGCCTGCGCCGCCTCCCTCCCAGCACCACGCCGGAAGCCGTGCGGAGCGCGCGGGAGGAAACGGGGGTACCTGCGGTGCGAGCCAGGAGGCATCCCCCCCTTGCCGAGGTCGGGCTCCCGCTTGCCCCGTGCGCAGCTCGGCCCGGCCCGGCCGCCCCCAGCCCGCCGCCGCCGCCGCCGCCGCTGCAGCATCACCCGCGGGGCGGGGCCCTGACGTCACGGCTGCATCCTCGCGCCCGGGCCGGTACCCGCAGAGCATCCTTAAAGCGGCACCGCCGGCGCCGCGGAGGCGCCGGACCTGGCGCTCGCCTCCCCGCCCCCTGGCCCCCCCGCCCCGCCGGAGGGAAGGCCCCGAAACAGGCCTGCTGCGACTCCCCGTGGCCCGAGGCACTCGCACCAGCCTTGGCAAGACCCCCTCTCTATGAAAAAAGATTAATTTGTTTTACCACCGCGTTGGTCTACAGATGGATTTTTAATACTATGTTAATTCCTCCCCCCCCCCCGCCCCCGGGCCTAAGAGGTCTCTTTTTTGTTTGTTCTGATTTTAAAATAAATGAACTCATTCCATGGGTCCCTGAAAGCACTGCAGGCTCTGAGCACTGTGCCGCGACCAGGATGCACGGGGGGGGGGGGCAGGGGGGGGCTCTGCCCACAACTGCTGCACCTCACTCGCCCACTCACTCACCCACCCACTCACTCACTCACCCACCCACCCACTCACCCACCCACTCACTCACCCACCCACTCACTCACCCACCCACCCACTCACCCACTCACCCACTCACCCACCCACTCACCCACCCACTCACTCACTCACCCACCCACTCACTCACCCACTCACCCACCCACTCACCCACTCACCCACCCACCCACTCACCCACCCACCCACTCACCCACCCACTCACTCACTCACCCACCCACCCACTCACCCACTCACCCACCCACCCACTCACTCACCCACCCACCCACCCACTCACTCACTCACCCACTCACTCACCCACCCACCCACTCACCCACCCACTCACCCACCCACTCACCCACTCACTCACCCACCCACTCACTCACTCACCCACCCACTCACCCACCCACTCACCCACCCACCCACTCACCCACCCACTCACCCACTCACCCACTCACCCACTCACCCACCCACCCACTCACCCACCCACTCACCCACCCACTCACTCACTCACTCACCCACCCACTCACCCACCCACTCACCCACTCACTCACCCACCCACTCACTCACTCACCCACCCACTCACCCACCCACCCACTCACCCACCCACCCACTCACCCACCCACCCACTCACCCACCCACTCACTCACTCACTCACTCACCCACTCACCCACTCACCCACCCACCCACTCACCCACCCACTCACCCACCCACTCACTCACTCACTCACTCACCCACCCACTCACTCACCCACCCACCCAACAGAGGTGTCAGACCCCAGCGTAGGGGCTGGGGACGAGGCGATGACGGCCGTGAGCAAAACACACACAAGTTCCTGCTCGTGGCGTGGCACTATAGGGAGGAAGAGACTCGTTAAAAAGACAAATGACGAATGAGTAAGGTGCCAGAAAGCAGTAACTCCCCAGAGGAGGGGCTCAGGAGTGCGCAGCTGCAGGAGGGGGCGCCGCGGCAGCTTTCAACCTAGGGCTGGTGAGCCCTCACCTCGAAGGGGACGTCTGAAGACAGACTTGCGGGAGGTTCGGGGGGCTGAGCCGGGCCGACGTCCGGGGACAGTCACCCGGGCAGCGGGAGGGCAAGTGCGAAGGCCCTGGGGTGGGGGTGAGGCGGGCAGAGCGGACGCCATCCTGACTGACCAGGTGCCCTGCAGGGCACGCACGGAGGGTGCTACCGAGGGGAAGCACGGGGCTGAGGACGCTTCCCATGGGGGTCTGAGCTCGGTGGGAGGGTCCTTCGGTCCCCGAGGTCTACAGCGAGGGTCGGGAAGTGCAGCAGCGCGGGGAGGCAGGGAGGCGAGTTCCAGACACAGGGGTCAGCCGTGCTGCATCGGGGGAGGGGAGGGGAGGGCGAGCCCAGAGCTGAAGGGAGTCAGTGGGGCCGGAATGCAGAGGCCCAGGGCGGGTGGGGGTGAGCTCGGGAGGCAGACCAGGCCCAGCCTACAGGCCCCGTGAGCTGCTGCCGTTTTGTAAGGACGAGATGAACCTTAGACGTTGGAGAGCAAGTGACAGTCATCACACACATGTTGTGTGGAGTCACATGGGCGCTCAGGGCAGAACATGGGTCGGAGGGATGGGGGGGCAGGTGGGTGTGCGGCTGGGAGCTTGGGGAACGCCCGAGAGGGAGAGGACTGGGGCGACGGTGCGGGGGGCCGGAGGAGGGGAGCTCCCCGGGGATTGAGAAGGTAACACCAGCAGGACTTGGTGGCAGAGGAAGGTGAGGGGCGTGGGGAGGAGGGAGGGCGGTGCGAAGAAGTTTCCAGCTTGAGCACCTGGGCGAACAGGGGGAGGGGAGGGGAGGGGAGTCGCAGGCGGGCTCTGGGACAGGACAGGACCCGTATGACGGGCCTCTGAGGCGTCCCGGCCACTGCAGGCCTGGGTCTGGAGATCAGAGGCCGTTCTCTCAAACCGCCCGAAGCCAAACTGGACACGGACGTCGTCAGCAGGACAGGGGTGGCAGAAGTCCCCAGATGAGGCCTTGAGGATCGCGACAGTCACTGGCTGGGTGCTGGAGGATGAGTCACCTGAGCACTGTGTCTATCTTATTTTTTCTGTAAACAAGAGTCATACAGACATTTGGAAAAAATATCAATATGTTTTTCTGTTTTGTATTTACACACAAATGACCTGCTCTTTGACTGATCCACTTCAATATCTAAGATGCTTAACGCAGTGGGTGCTTACTTTCGGCCCCTGTGACACCCAAAGGGTGTCCCTGCTGGTAGAGGGACCTCCTTCCGCCCAGGCTCAGTCCCAGCCAGGCTCGCAAGAGGCCCGCGGCCCACTCCCATTCCATTGTTGAGGGCTCAGTGGCGCGGCCACACACACCCAGGGTCAGGGAGGAAGTGGGCCAGTCGCCTGCCTCTTCCGTTTTTACCTGCTTGGGGTGCAGGGAAGGGGGGACAGGTGATTTGGAAAGCTATGCAAGCAAAAGTTAACATTCAAAACAGGATTTTGCAGAAAGTAAGGACGCTTGAAATTCAGGCATTGCTGAGAAGGACTTTAAAAAGATTCCTTTGACTTTTTCCGAACCCTCCAAAGTGAGAACTTCCAGAATCAGAGCCCTCCTACCTGAACTCTCGGGCCAGCCCAGAGCAGACGTGCCAGCCACCCACCCCCCTCCCGGTGTGGACGGGCTTTCCCAGTCTTGTCCTTAGGTGGCCCGAGGCAGGGGCAGAAGGAGAACTGCAGGGTGTGGAGCGACCAAAAGGCATTTGAGGGGGGCAGGCGAAGGTGGGAGGGGCGCCCAGCGGAAGGTGGCGCTGGGGCGACCCTGGGGGCCGAGGCTCAGGCCTCCCTCAGTCCAGAAAGGAGCTTGTTTTGGGATGAGCTGCCCAGAGCCGATGTAGGGGCCGCAGCCTGGCTTGGGGGGCGGAGGGAAGCGGAGGTGGGGGCCGTGGGGGGGGGGTCGGAACTGAAATGGCCCGACGGCCCCTTGGGGAGATGACCGAGGGGGCGCTACCCCTTCGCCGGGGTGTGAAAGGCCAGGCAGGCCAGGAGGCGGGTGGAGACCAGCGAAGGACCCCAGCGGGGTCCACAGGGCCGGGCAGGAACCCCCTCAACCGGACATCGGGGGCCCCTGCGGGGCACACAGTACCAGGCGGTCCGAGGAGCCCGAGCCAGAGAGGATGGGGAGAAGGAAGACCAGGAAGGTCGTCATCCTGAAGAGACCAGGTCAGCCCCAAAGGGACTGTTCCGAGGATCCGACGGGACTCACTCAGCTGCACATCCGGCTTGACCTAGTTGGGGCGCCCCGCGCCCCACACCCTCGGAGCCCGCAGTGGGGACGGCGGGCGAGAAGGCGCCGCTCGGCCGCAGGCACAGAGCCGAGGCCGGCGGGGCACTGTGGACCCCTGAGCGGACCCGCTGAGCCAGCCTGTGGAGAGGGTGGGCGCGGGCCTCCCGGGGCGAGGGCCGGCGGCGACCCACCCGCCTTCTCGGGGTGTCCACGAGGTGGCAGAAGAGCCCCACCTTCCCTGGCCTGAGCAGCGGCGCACAGGGCGGGCGGGCTGGGGCAGGACCGGCCAGGACGCCCCGGGCTCCTCCAGCACCGAAGGGAGAAGAGGCGACGCTTTTGAAGCCCTTTCTGACCTGGCGAGGACGCGTGGTTCTAAGGCAGAATTTTTACTTTTACTCTGTGAGTACACTTCTCTTTTCTGCAAAGCACACAACCGCGTGATTTCTTTTCTCTTTCTTTTTTTTGGTCAATAACGTTATTTTTAGTATCGGATCTCGGGCCTGGCCCTGTGTTAAGGTTTTTATGCACTTTCATCATCCTAAGTGTATGAACGGGGTGTTTTCCCCGCCACGTGCGTTTGACCCAGAAGCCTGAGGGTGAGGCCACAGTCACCGTGGGGATGGGAGCAGGGACTCGAACCCAGGGCCGCGCGCCCCCAGGCTCCTGTCTCTGGCAGGGGGTGAGGGCTCACACACGCTTTCCACTCTGGTGTGTGCACACTGATGAGCGCACACACACATGCACACACTTGTGCACGCTCACACACAGACACGATCGCCAAAGCCCCCGCCGGGCGAGCAGCAGCCGGCCTGGACTCCGCACGGACCCCCGGGAGCGGGGCCCCTGCAGGGCAAGGGCCACGAGGCGCCCGCCCTTCCACTGCACCGCGCCGCGGGCTCCCGGGCGGGACAGCCCGGCTCCTGGCAGACAGGCTCCTCCCTTTGACCCGCGCACAGTGGGTCGGCTGGGAGGGGTTGTGCTGTCCGCCTGCGTGCGCACAGGGACGCTGCGGGTCCACACAGATGGACGGGGGCTGGCAGGGGACTCCGTCACCCCGGCTCTGCAGGAAGACGAGTTCCGATGTCGAATCGTGGGCCCTCCTCTCGGAGAGCCTGTGGGGCCCGAGCCCGCACTCGGGACCGTGGGAACTGCCGCAGCCAAGAGGAAGGAGACCGGGGCGCCTGGGTTCGAGCCCGGAGGAGCCAGGGCAGTCGGGACCCCACACCCCTTGACACCCTGTATCCATCAGAGCGCACTCACTGACGCTTGTTTAGACCCTTTGAGCTTTTCTGTAGACACAGACGTGCTGTCAGAGAGTAAGGCCGGTCCCTCCCTTTCTTTTCCATCAATTTCTGCTTTTCTCGGTATCACTTCTTCCCTTGAACTTTCTGAGTTCAGTTTGCTCTTGGTTCGCTAACTTCTCGGGTCGAACACTTGGGTTGTTGACGTTTTGCTCGCCTCTCTCTCGTAATGTGAGCGTTAGAAGTTGTGTGTTTCTCTCTCAGCACGTCCTTTGATCGGGAATTTTCACCCGCGGCGCGCCACAAGCATTTTTAAAACAGGCGACACCTGACTCTTTAGTCAGGGGCACTGACCTCCTTTCCCTTAGACTGTCGGATAAAAAAAATGACAACAGCCAACACAACAATAGGTGTCTGGTGTGAATGAATCAAAATGATACCTAATGTTTTTGGTCAGGTTGGCCAAAAATATATTTTCGGTGTGCTGCAGAATTTTAGTCATTAGTGTACGTGTGTCACGAGATGAAAAAGGTTGAAAATCACGGCTTTCGATGCATCCCACAGATTCCGACACGTATTTTCTTTTTTTTAAGATTTTATTTATTTATTTATTTTTAGAGAGGGGAAGGGAGGGAGAAAGAGAGGGAGAGAAACATCAATGTGTGGTTGCCTCTTGTGTGCCCCCCTACTGGGGACCCGGCCCGCAACCCAGGCACGTGCCCTGACTGGGAATCGAACCTGCGACCCTTTGGTTTGCAGCCCACGCTCAGTCCGCTGAGCTGCACCAGCCAGGGCCACGTTGTATTTTCAGTATCATTGAGTTAGCCGCTTTGGCGAGACACCCGCGTGAAGAAACATGGCTGAGAGTCGGAGATGAGGACCTGGGGCCTGGCTGCGTTTCGAGGTTTGGGTTTGGGTCTTCGGGGACAGAAAACGAATGAGAAAGCAGACGTGCCACAGGTCCCAGAGGAGAGGGGCGGGGCCTGGGAGGGTCCCAGAGGCACCCCGGCATCCCCTCCACTGGGCTCTCCCGGCTCTCTGAGCTTTCCTGTGCAACTCACTGCCCGCTGCAGCTGTCCACTGAGATGTGTAACAGGCACTCAAACACTCCCAGTGCAAAACCAAGACCCTCGATTCCCGCCCCCAGCCCTGCTGTTTGCTGGATCAATCACCGAGGAGAACTCGGGCGGCACAAGGAGCCCACAGAGATTTGGGGTGTGAGTACGGCTTGCTCCCACAGGGGCGCCCTCAGTGCAGAAGGTGGTCTGTTCCCCCCCCCCGCACAGGTAGGCCAGCGCTCCCTCCCATGTCTGCTTGCAAAGGCCCAGCGGCCATTTCCCACCGAGAAGCCTGAACTTCCTGCCTCGTTTTCCGGACCCCCGCCCCCCGCTCCCTCCTGTCCACTCCGACTTACTTCTCTCCCCGCCTGGCACAACCGGCTCTCCTAACCCCAGACCCACGCTCATCCTCCAAGGCATCCCACTCGCCCCCGGGGCTGCAGGCTTCCCAGGGATGTGTCCTGGTCCTCAGCGCGTGAGGCCGGGCCTTCCCTCTCGTGTCTCCTCCTAGTCACGCGCACCAGTGGCTTACTCTGCTCGATGATGCTTCATCTGTGTGTGTCTTTTGTCCCCAGGCAAGTCTGTCGGTCCCCACAATGCTTAGCACGTTCTTGGCGCTCAGTCACTGCTTCCCACCTGTTACCTGATAGGGACAGATTTGCAGCATCCGAAGCAGCTTTTTCTGGCTCCGGAAACCCGCACCTCCTCCGCCTGGGAGGCCCCGCCCTGGCCCTCACTGCTGTGAGGGTGCCGCTGGTGGCCAAGGCCAAGGCCGGGAGACCCCAGGGCCCCGCCCCCATCCTTTTGGCCTGAATGGCTCCTTTGCCGCAGGGCGGCCGAAATAAGCCCCAGGGCACAAAGACAGCTCTCTGCTTTCTCTTCCGTTCTCGTAGACAATGGTCCCCCCACTTTGGTGGGACTGAGGTCCGACTGGGGGGGCTTCTAGAAATGCTTGTCGCTATTCCCGCCAGAGACTCTGATTATGTCTGGGTGGCAAGGTGACCGAGCATCCCGGTGCTTCCAGGCGGATGGCACTGCGGCCACGCCTCGGGGAGCCAGGCTCCTGCGAGAGGAGATTCGGGCGGGCTCAGAAATGGAGCACCCCGGGGTTCCCGGAACATCTTTTCACCGGCGGCGCCTCTGTCTTCCAGCTTCCGATGAAACTGGCCGACCGCTTCCTTCCAGGTTTCCCTCGGAAACCACTGGCTGCTGGAGCCGGTCTGAACACGCCCTCCGGGCCCACGGGCCGCCCCGAGGGCCAGGCCTCACGACCCCTTTCGGCAGCTGATGGGGCCCTGAGGTCCCAGCCCAGTGGGGGTTTGGTTCCCTCGGGGCAGACTCCCGGCAGCTACGGGTTGAAACCGTGTGACCGTGTGGTTTGACCCCAGCCCTCGGCAGGGCTCAGGGTCATCTCCCCCGAGAGGAAGGGTTCCGGTTTGGCTCACAGTGCAAAGTAGCGCGAGGCTATGAAACAGCACTCAAGAGAAAAGAAGGTTTGCATGTTGGCCTTGATTTTAGACCCAGGAGCTCGCAGGGGAAAAAGGTCCACATTTCCACAGTGCGTCTGCTCGAAGGAAGAGCCCGGAAGGACACGCCTGGACCATGAGGGTGTCTCCCCTGAGCCACAGTGTCGGGGGGACAGGCGACAGCAACCTTTGACCTCAGCCACTTCAGTACCCTTGTGAGGGTGGCTGCCAGTTTACAACCATCGGGTGCTACCTTTGTCATAAAAAATGGGTCCGAGAGCAGCCATGCCCACACAGTCTTTGAAAATAAAATATTCAGCACAAGCACCCCATGCTCTCAGCGGTGCGAGGCCCAGCGCGAACTCTCTCCCTCTGGTCACTGCTCCCACAGGCCGCTGGGATGTTTCAAAACACGGGGACCCACGTCTCAGGACCAAGGAAGGGTCTTTGAAGCGATGACGGGCTCGGAAGGACCCTCTTAATTAAACAGATCTCGTTGTCCGGGCAGGGACTCGCTCTCTAGTTCATTCGGCAGTGGGACTGAAGGCTTTCTGGTGACTCTGGGCCCCTGCCTGAATTTTGTGCAATTTACGCGCTGCCGCCCGACAGCTGATTTTCCCAGCCTCGGTTCGGGGCCTTTTGAACTTGACCGGAACAGAACGTGCAGGTGTCCCGCAGCCCTCGCTGCAGCCTGAGTCCACGACAAGACTTCGGCTGCGAAGGGCTTTGTGTCGGCTTCCACTGGGCCCACAAGGGGCCTTGGGCCCCCCCCCACCCCCCCAAATCTCTGCTCTGCCCTCCCACCGGGACTTCTCTCTGCCCGGGAGCCCCTCGCTCGCTATTAATTAAACGTCTTTGTTTTCTCCTTCAATGGCCGGCCTCTCCGAGTGCATCCACCGCCCCCCCCACACTGCCCGCCTCACCAGCACACAGGCACCTCATCATTGACCGAACTTGAATCAGGGACTGTTTCTCTGCGTCTTGGAAGCTCCCTCTGGAGCCCCATAGTCCACTCTCGGATGAGAAGTCGCTCCTGCTGCGCGGGATTCCGCTGATGGCCCCTCGCAGCCTACGATGTTCTCTTCCTTCAAGAGATTTTTTTTTTTTTGCTCCATTTAACTTGTCTTCCAGCGAGGCTCCCGGGTCAGACCGGCCGGTGCAGCAGGCACCTGGACAGCCGCCTCCCAGATGTGACTCGACTGCTCACCCGAGGGCCGGGGGTTCGGAAGCTCGGCCGTGACCTTCAGCTCGCCTTCCCCCGGCTGCGGGATGTCGGTGGAGGGGGCTCGACGCAGGGGACGGCCCCGGCCCCCACCGCCTCCTGGAAGTCTGCTTCCTCCGGGAAGGACCCCCGGAGAAGTTCCTGACGCCGTTCGCTGCTCCTTTCCAGGCAGAAAACAGCTCCAGGGGCGGGGAGAGGGGGAGAGGAGGCCTCTGTGGCGGCGGTGGGGGCGTGGGGGGGGGCGGGAACCCGGGAGCACAGGCAGGTGAGGTCGGCTCTCAGGGAGCGAGGGCCGAGGGGCGTCTCCGTTATGGAAGCGGCTGGAACCACCGTCTCCACAAATTCTAGAGGTGTCATGGGCCTGCAGACACTGTTCTTTATAGAAGAGTTCTCTCTCGGACAACAGATAGCA